GCTGGACCAGGTGCTGTGTGCGTCTCAGATCAGCCAGAGCAGCAGCTGGATTGCACATGGTGTCTGCTCCATCCAGCCTGCGCCACACATAGTGCCTGCTCTGGTATGTGCATCGCACACGGCGCCCGTTTCAACCACTTGAGGACCTGTGTTATGTGCAGCACAGATCCTGGACTGACTTGTGTGTGGCACAGTTCCAGAGCTGCCAGGCTGGGCACTGAGTGCAGCTCAGTCTGGCCAAGGCAGACGCTGTGTGTGGCATGGCTGCAGCTCTGTGCATGCATCCGGCCTGCCTCTGCCATAGATAGTACAGGGCAATAGTTGAACATGGGAGCCAGCTGGTGCTTATTCTGGCAGTTCCAGACCAGTATCATCCAAGTAATTCATCACAACTAAGTGTTCTGTATCCAAGGTTCCTTTTCAAAAGCCTTTGCAATTTCTCTCTCGCTTGTTGGCCTATGTCATGTGGAATAGGGTTGAATTTTTCTTTGACCTCCTTGATTTGGTCAAGGGAGTCATGTATTGAGAGGCCCCTCATCTTAAATTCCTTGACTGCCAGTGGCAGAGCAGGAAGGTGCATGCCGCTGTTCATTACAAGATCCCTCTGACTATAGGGCTGTTTGAAGCCATTTATGCAGCACTGATGGAGGCTGTCTCGCTGGCATCAAAACTGCTGATTTTGTTTGTTTGCTTAGTTGTATGTGCGCGTGTGTGTGTGTATGTATGTATGTGTATATAAGAGAATCCAAATGCAGAGTGTAAATGTGGGGATACATTGGGGAACGTGGCTACGTTTATCCACATTCCCCAATGTATCACCATGAGCTGTAGTGGCAGGGGCACGCCTGGCAGAATTTCTCTGTAGGACTGTATTCTCAGTGGCATCTTTACAGACACTTTTTTTTCATACTTGAAACAAAAGAATTGGCAGCTACAAATTCAAGTTATGGGGTTTTTTTAGCAACTCAGTTGAGGTCATGCACCGAAGAGGCAAAGTGTAGTAAATGTGAATAGCATGTTTGCAGTGTTGTTCCTTTTTTCAGCATGTAGACTGCAGCACCTGCAAGTAGAAGACTTAGGGTGTGTATAGAAGTTGTTTTTTTTTTTCACCATTTGTAGCGCTTTATTACCATGACTTGACAGAAGTGCACAGCTTTATAGCACTTTAAAAATGAGTACAGCACTTTAAATTAAATGAGGTGTTAAATTTGAAGCATTGTATTTTACAGCACTTCAGCAACCTACAGTGCTTTAAATAACTTCTGTATGCTGGTCAAATTTCCCATGGGCTTTGCAAGCTTAGCTAGTTCTCCTCAGCTCCACCAGGAGTAGCCAGGGAGCAGTAGCCAAGCCTGAAAATGCTGGCAACCCACCCTGCTCTGGCCAGCTGACT